TCAAAGTGCTATGGAGCCACTACTATTCAATTTACTTATTAATAAAAATAATTTCAGATTCTGAATATAATGGCACCCAATATTGAAAGTGACACAAGCTCCTCAGAAATATTTTAAATAAGGCATATATTAGAAAGCAGGGAATTTTGAATTAAGATTATAGTATGTTAGAGATCTTGGCAATCCAAATTGTCCAAATACACAGTCATTGTTAAGAAACTTGTTTTTTTTTTTTTTACTTTGGAAGATGCATTATATATACTGAAAATCAAATAGTGATAGAACAAGTGATATCATTTAGTATTATGTTATTTTTATGTAATTAAGATAACCAAATATCAACCAACCAAGCTGCACCTTGGCATAATTTTAATAACCCTCACTTTTAATAATCTTCATTTTTGCTCTCAAACTTGGCCTGGAATGAATGATAAACTGTATAACCACTTATCTTTAATATATTATTAGCACAAAATTAAGAAAAAACAAAATAGAAATATTGGGTTTGCCTTTGTTCATTTTCTAAGGAAACCTGTGAAAATACTTTAGAACACCTATGTCAAATGTTTCATTTAATGTAACTATTTCAAACAATTAGTGGGGAATTCTTAGGAAACAATGCTGAAAGGATCCTTCTTCCTTTCTAACACACACTTATAGGTGGCATGAGTTAAACATTCTTTTTTTTTTTTTTTTTCAAATTAAACATTCTTAAATCAAGGCTATTAAAATGTCAGCAATTGTCCATCTCCTGGTTGATAGTAACAACAGTTTTCTATCTTACTATTGTTTAGTCATTAAGTTATGTCTGACTCTTGTGACCCCAGGGATGATAGCCTGCCAGGCTTCTCTGCTCATGGGATTTCTTAGGCATGAGTACTGGAGTGGGTTGTCATTTCCTTCTCTGGGGGATCTTCCCAACTCGGGGATCAAACCCATGTCTCCTGCATTGGCAGGTGGATTTTTTACCATTGTGCCACCTGGGAAGTATCACACCACTATATATTTAATTTAATTAATTACCACTATTTTTGTGTCACAAAGCTTTCAACAGAAAGCTAAATCCATTGTTAGTGATGATTCAGGTGTCTACATGAGGACATGTTTCAACAGACCCCAAGATGGCATGTTTTATACTCAAGCTGTGGCATTTCACTAGATAACCCATATTGACCATTGGTTTTATCAGTGAATCATGCCATATTACCAGGTAGCAAGTTTAATTGTGAAAGTCCTTTTGTATTGGTAGGTTAGGTAATAAGCGTGTGGAATGGTTTTTCTGCAACTCATGAGTGTGTGGCCAACTCTTCTTGAAATTGACCAAGGCCTTAGGAACCTGGGTTGGCCCTTCTGGAATGTGATATGTCCATTGGAAATGTGGAGGAAAATGGTGCATCAGGGTTTAAATTTCCTCTTCATTTAAGGCATATTTTAAATCACTGCAGTGTTAGCAATTTCCTCCTTGGAAATCAGCATCAGAATGCCTTCAACACAAAGGAACATTTAAACACCTACCAATAGCTCATATTGTGTTAAAACATGTCTGACCTACAGATGAAATACTGTAGAATAATTCAAATAGCTTTGTGAAAGGAGTGCAAAGGGGTATTACAGGCCTTATCACATGGAATCCAGTTAATCTTGATATTTTTTAGGAAGAACACAAAACAGAAAATGTTGATGTTGTCCAAGGATTCATACCAGGTACCATAATTGCAGCAGTCTGTTCAGTGACAGTTTTGGTATTAGCCCTCATCTGTGCAGTAGTATCTGTGTTCCTGTTTCAACTCTGATTTTCCACAGAAGAGGGGGTAAGCATCAGTGATGTCCACTGTTAATGGAATAGTTTTGCACAGGACCCTGCCTCTATGAAGTCTTTTGTTAAAATACCAAGTACTTTTTCTTCTCTTATTTCAACTATAATTTTGACAAGCTTTACAAATATAGAGGGTACCTGGCAATACAAGACAAATGTGGATATGAAACTTGCCAGCAGGAGTTCATGGAGTGTGTCCAACCAGCAGTCTGCATGTTTGCACTGGGCTTACACATCCCATATGTTCATATCAAATAATATTTATCAATTGACCATCAATCACAACCCAATCAAAGAATCCAGGATCCCCAGAATAACTGTAACCACTTTTTTTAGGCCAAAAATAATGCCCCTTGATAATGCTGAAAGGGATATTTGTTTATCAAAGCATTACTTTAACCCAGGGGATACCAGGAATAATAGATATTTGAGCTTCATTCCAAGCAAGTGCAGCATTGCTTGGCAAACTAGAAACCTCTTTTTTTGTTTTTGTTTCTGTTTTTGTTTTCCTAGTGTATATAAAAAATTGGGGAATACAATCAGCACTTTCACTCAGGGTAACAGGCCACAGACTTTCCCCTCAATCTTCATTTTGCTAGAATGGACTCACTGCTGAGTAGGAGAATAATGTACATGCAGAACAGAGGCTCAGAGGGACCTGTGAAGCCTTTTCCTTCTAAGGGGGCATCCTGGGTTACAGTTTGAGGGTATCCACTGCACACTTATGGCTTCTCTAGTGGCTCAGATGATAAAGAATATGCCTGCAATGCAGGAGACCCCAGTTTGAGGCTTCAATCCCTGCGTCAGGAAGATCCCCTGGAGAAGGGAACCCACTCCAATATTCTTGCCTGGAGAATTCCATGGACAGAGGAGCCTGGTGGGCTGCAGTCCATGGGGCCATGAAGAGTCAGACATGACCATGTGACAGTCAGGGGACTGTGTAGTTTCCTCAGTTCTGTCTTGCTGCAGCAAAAATTTGAAGCGATGGACCAGTGTTACAGCTCAGTTACAGCTCAGTTTTATTTGGCAAGCAAAGGAAAATGCATCCTTGAGGTGTGACGGCAGGCTGACCCAAAAGAAGAGAGTGGTTCAATTTTGGCTCCTCTTTTTATATGTTTTTTCCTCCCCCAAGCCTGCCTTAAGTAAATTGGGCTAGCCAGGAGGGCTGTTTGCTTCACCTGAGGCTCTCACTCCTTCCCTCAGATATTCCTTTGTTCTCTTTTCTTGGGCTTTTTCCTTTCTTTGTCTTTTAGCCACTGCTATTTTGGGCTCCTTTTTCCTATTCTAACTACCTAACATTCTCCCCTCAAGAGATGGGAGGCCCAATTCTTTGGAAGTAGGGGCTTTGAGTTCTCTCTGGCTACTTTTTGCTGAGCTGGGATGGCGAGGGGCATTGGGCCTCCCCCTCTTGCTAGTCTCAAGCCTCAGAGTCCTTAGAGCGGTGTCCATCTAAGGCGAGTGATATTTTCCATGGTCAGGTGTAGTCTTATATATTTTTGCTGAACTGGCACTGCATGTTGTAGCCTATTGACCTGGGCAGAGACAAAAAGGGTTAGACAATTGATACTGCATGGAACAATCATAAGCAGCATCAATATGATAATAACAGGGATTAATACAGGTATTAGCCAACTCCGAAGTCCCCCTCACCAGGAGAAAGATCCCCCAAAGAGAGATCATAGCCACCCCGAAAACTCTCCAGCTTGTTCTTTGAGATCCTGTAGTGTCTGATTGTTTTTCTTAAGGACTATGTGACTTTCTTTAACTTAACTGGAGGTATTTACCCAGAAAGAATATGTCTGATTCAAGATGGCTCAAGTCCCTTCTTGTTCAGGGCTCAGGAGATCTTTCGCCTGTCTATTTTGGCGTACAATCGCTGCCAAGGCTTTTTTCTTTCTTTGTCTTTTAGCCACCACTATTTTGGACTCCTTTTTCCTACTCTAACTACCGAACAGTGACTAACACCTTCACTTTTCACTGCACTTAACTACAGAAGACATTTCTCTTTTGAAATTTTGAACCTTCCCACAGTGATGATGGTAGGTAGTTAGAACAGGAAAAAGGAGTCCAAAATGGCGGTGGCAAAAAGACAAAGAAGCGAAAAGCCCGAGAAAATAGAACAAAGAAAGGTCCGAGGACCAGAGTGAGTATCTCAAGGGAAACAAACAGCCCTCTTCGCTAGCCCAATTTACATAGGGCAGACCGAGTGGGGGAAGAAAAGAAACATAAAAATAGAAGAGCCAAAATATAACGAGGTGGGGCTGGGGGCCGCTGGGGGCTTCTCGTCTTTTGGGTCGGCCTTCCTGCACTCCTCGAGGATGTATTTCCCTTTGCTAGCCAGTAAACTGAGCTATAACGCTGGTATGGCCATCGCTTTACCTTTTTGCTTCAGGGAGACAGAACCGAGGAAATTACAAACTTCCCAGACAATGAGAAGCCGAGGATGAAGATTTAAGCAAACACACCCTGGTGGCCCTCTAGGTTAGGTTTCTATTGCTGCCCTAACAAATCACTTCCAATTCAGTGGCTGAAAACAGCATTCATTCATCATCTCAGCATTTTTGTGAGTCAGAAGTCTGGAACATAAAGTGGTTCACCTACTTTTTCATCTCCGGTTTTTACAAGACTGAAATTAAACTATCCAGGGGGCTGCAGGTTGTTTTGTGTGGGGTCGAGAGCTTAAGCCACTTCCAAGCTCACTGGGGGTACTGGGTGACTTTAGCCCCATGTCTTGTGGGCTGGCAGCCTGTGCCGACCTTGACTCCCAGCAGGGCTAACGCCTCGTCACGGTGGACACACTCAGGGCTGTAGCCTTGCCTTGGTAGGTCACTGCCTCTCATTCTTCGAGGTAGGGATATTCCAATTTAGCCTTGAACCCTGCCAGAGCCCAAAGCAGTAAGTAGCTCCAGGGGATCCTGGTTTAAAATCTATTCCACTTCCAAAAAATTTTAACACGGACACTGTAGCATTTAATTCCCTCAGGTGATTGATTCTCCGGTCAGGTACAAGTGCAGATAATTAAGCTACTTCCTCCTTCCTTCAAATCCACCCTTTTAAACATTACTTTGTGATGCTGAACTGGAAGCCTACAGGCTGAAGTATCCTTTGCCTGTTGGCTGTCTCTCTGGGGCCGACGTTCCAGCAATACAAGGCTGGAAAGGGAGAAGGAGGGTTTAAGCGAGGCGCCCTTGTTTGGTTCTGAGTCTCAGTTGCTGTTGCCATAGCAATGAACTTTCACCTTGAAGTGGCCTTTGGATCCTGGCTCCAGCTTCTTGCTGCCCTGCTAGAACCGTTCTCCTCACATCTCTTCAGAGGTTCCAGCAGCAGCCAGCATCCTCATATCAGCGGTCTCTATCCCACAGGCTCCGTCAAAGGGCCCGCCTCCAGGGTTCTAGAGCTGGCGATGACAGCATGTTTCCTCTGTGTCCTCGGGTAACCTGCCGCTGCTTCGGGGCTCCTTTTTTTCCTTTTAGTTCTCTGATATGTTTAACCAGTTACTAATACTGTATTAAATTGTCTGTTTAGTAATTAGGGTGACTTCTGGTTTTCTAACTTTACCCTCCTTACCTTTGGTTAGACGAGTGGGATAGTGCTACTGTTGGCTGGAGATCCTGCTGACTTCCTCAAGCTGGGGCGGTGCAGGGAAGTGACGCAAAGTTGCACCTGGCCACCCATCATGGTTCGCCTTTCCTCAATCACAACTGAGTTTATTACTTGCCTAAAGAAAGTAACTGTGTGTTTTAATGAGTGTTATGATACCTTCAAAATCAAGTATGCTACACATTTTCTGACATAGTCCAGAATAACTGAAAAATATATTTCACAACTAGCATTGTTTTCCTTTTTATTGTATCTTCTTCATGATGGATAGATAAATTATGAATTTATGCTTTAGTATAAATTTACTGAAATGTGATCATCTACATTATTTACAGAATTTAAGTGTTTCAGATGTATAGCTGTTTGCTAATAATTTCATGTCTTAAAGATATTTCAATGTTATAGCCACGCTTTCCGGGAAACAAACTCACTCAGAAGGACAATGCAGATAGTGGAGAGCAGCTTATTACACCGGCGGGCCCAAGGCAGAGTCTCCTCTTAGCCAAGGACCCCGACCAGCATTTGTGAAAATCTTTTATACCCCATGTGTACGTGTCCAAACCCACCACTCCAAATCCCTTGAGGCTTACAAAAGAAGGGTAAATACAATCACAATAACCCCATGATTCACGTGTTATGTGTTCAAACAGTTAATAATCAATAAGCCCGTGGTTACATTCCAACCAATTAATAACCGCTAAGCCTGTGGTTACATTCCGATAGATACTGTCCGGAGGCAGGGGTGATTAGTGTCTGTTTTCTCTTAGGTGATGAGTAACCAGGATATGATCTGCAAGGCTCCCCTGTCTGAAGGGGGTCTTTTCCTTCCGTTGTCGTTCCCACAGACACTAAGCAGAGAGTTCAGCGTCCACTGGAGAGGTTGCCGAGCACGATCAGCATGGACAGGCCTGAGATGGGGTCAAGGCCCTATGAATTCCTTCTTCACCAACATAAACTGCAGGTGTCAAATATTTAAAAAGAAAAACTTGGTAAAGATTTTTTTCCAGTAATAAAATTTACATACAAAAGTTGCATTTATTGGCAGGAAGTTACTTTCCCAAATCTTTTGCATTTCACTAAGTAAATGGTTTGCTATTATAGAAAGTAGTTTATCTGTTAAAATGCCACTTACTGATATTGACTATTTCTAAAATAATCATACAAGTGATTTTGGATAGTAGCACTTCCAAGTGCAGTTATTAATACTGAACATTTATTCATTTGGAAAGGCATTTTATTTTAAATCACTCTGTAGAATGCAAGCATGGCCTTTCAGCTATGAATAACCATGGTGTAAATTACAAGCAATAAAGTTTAATTATGTCATATTTATGCAAAATAATATAATTGAACATACATATAAGATATTCACATTATGAGAAAATCAAAGCCATTTAGGACAATCTGAATTTTTTTTTTATTCCATGAGATGTTAGGAATAAGAATGGAAATTTAAATTGTTTCTTTAGCATGCAAGGCAGACATATAAATAATTGTAATGAACTTGCATTAAAAGCAATTTTCAATTATTTAATTTATAAGAAAATAAATACTATATACATATGTATACACACACATAGACACAAATGAAATTCACTTTTTCTGTTCAAATTGCATCTCCTGTCACATATTTGATTATAAATCTCAAGAAATCCCAGTCCCCCAGCACTATTGTAAATAAGGACAATTATAGCTTAACTGCTTGGGCTTCCCTGGTGGTTCAGCAGTAAAGAATCTGTCTGCAATGCAGGAGACACAGGAGACTAGAGTTTGATTCCTGGGTTGGGAAGATCCCCTGGAGGAGGGCATGGCAACTCACTCCAATATTCTTGCTTGGAGAATTCCAGACAGAGAAGCCTGGTGAGCTATAACCTGCAGGGTGGCAAACAGTTGGACACAACTGAAGTAACTGAGCTCATATGAAGAGCTTAATTGCTTACTGGCTGAGAAATTACACACATACACACACACACACATGTACATGCACACATGTATACACAACCATGCACCTGGGAATCTGTACCCTGTCACACATAGGGTGCATCAACCAGAATAGAGCACACATTCTCCACACAGTTAGACCACAAATCCTATTTATTCTTTGACCTGTATGTTCACCCTGTCTTTGCTGATTTTCCCAGACTTTGGCTAAATTCTGTAGTCCTCCTGCCAGTAAAGACAGCCAGCCAATTGAGGTATTATGGTTTGAGTATATTCCTTTAGAACTTAGAATCCCATCTCTATAAAACTGGAACCCAAGTTTATTCTTGTGATATAAAATCAGGTAATAATCACTTCCCTCCCCCCCCCCATCCTCAATAAAATTATGTGCTGATTTGTACATTAGTGAGAGTTCCCTCAGGTAATTAATTAAAGCAATTTAAGTTGTAGTTGCTTTAGAGAGAAGGAGACATGGCAAGAAAAATACTAATTACATGTTCAGAGTGCCCACATAATTGTTTGCCTTCTCTTCATTAGCATCAATTTGGGGAAAATGAGGACAAATATATTCTATTTCCACCATCCCCTTCCCTGAGTCTATTTTCACTGTTTGAATCTATCTTTTCTTTTTTGCTAATTTTGAAGAACAAAATAAAATTATTAATTCAAAATTATTTATTCAGTTTTACCCACTGGGTTTATCAAGTGGTATTTGGAAAACTATCTTGGCATTTTGATGAATTCTCCTCAAAAGTGAACTGCATAAAGGTTTTTATGCCGGGGGGGGGGAAAAGAATTTGGCTTTTTCTGCTTTTTTAAATGTGCTTCTTAAGTACAAGATTCCAGCAAAGCCTCAATCATGCCAGAACAGTATTATCACTCTTTCTCACGACTCAAGTCATCACCCCCACCCCTATGCCATAGTATCTTAGGAAATCTATGTTCAGTCTTCAAATCACAATTGGGAAGCCATTGTTATATCTCAGATTCATTTCTCAGTTCCTGGTATCTGCACCTTTAGATTCACACTCTTATAATACCTTTCCTCCAATTGATGATTTTTTTTTTTTTTTCTTTGAATGTCTGTCAGCTCCCATTTTATCACTCGCAATCACATACCACCTCACTTCCCAATCTCAGACCTGGTTCAGTATTGCTGGAGAAATATAATTAAAGCCCAAATCTTCTTCAGCCAAGAAAACCTCACTACCAGCTTAGAAGAGAAAGAAAGCAGTTTTATTATTAAATAAGTATTAGACCAGAATGTGGGGTACATCCCAAGCAATTCACTAAGATTGCAGAGACTTAAAGAGATCTCACTTCTTGATATGCCCCAGCAGATACCACCCATTATACATGTTCTCAAGATAAATAATAGCCTGTCCTCAAGTAAGAGGACTTGACATCACCTCTGGGCACACACAGTTCATCTTAGCTTTACCTGGTAATGGGGGTGATATCTCTGTTAACTAAGTGGCTTTATCTGGAGAAAGAAAAACCGCTCTTAGCTTTACAAGAGGTAAGTTTGCCATTTGGAGTAAGTTGCTTGCTGAAAGCTAGTTTTCTGCCTTCCCACAGAAAATGGGAGATTGGGGTGCTTTTCTGAGTTTTTTTTTTTTTTTTTCAATTTGTGATTCTTTTTTTAAATTTATTTTTTAATTGGAAGAGAATTGCTTTAAAATATTGTGTTTGTTTCTGCTGCCCAACAATACAAATCAGCTGTAACTATATTTATATCATCTTTGGAACCTCCTTTCTCTTCCCCCAATCCACCCCTCTAGGTCATCAGAAAGCTCCAGGCTGGGCTCCCTATGTTTTATAGCAACTTCTCACCAGCTACCTGTTTTACACAGGGTAGTGTATGTATGTTGATGCTACTTTCTCTGTTTGTCCCACTCTTTTCCATCCCTTACTGTGTCCACGGGTCAGTTCTCTATATCTGCATCTCCATTCCTTCCCTGTAAGTAAAGTTTTAATGATTGAGTTTGAGAGAACTATTTCCCAGATCCTTTAGAAAGACATTCCTAGGTCTTAAAACTGATTAGAGCTTTATGTAATTTAAAAAACATTTACCTACATTTCACAGAGAAAGAATTTACATTTGCAAATGTTCTTAAGTAAATGCGCTTAAGAAAAGAAAGTCAGGGTGACTGGAGGTGGGGATCCCCTTTATTTCCTGGTGGGAGAATATTTTCTTTTTTTCCTATTTGTATTTACTCTTATGGTTTCAGTATCATGGCCATAGCTGGCTTATTCATGAACAAAGTTTGAATGATAGAATCCACACATATTTCTTGATATGTGAGTATTCAGGATAAGGAAACTCTTTTCAATAATTAACTAACAACTGTCTAAAGGTAGGAAAGTGGTCAAAGGGATAGAAATACTATTCTGCATCATATAGAATATCATTTAAAGTTCCGTTATGAACATCTGACTTACAGGATGAAAATGAAGGGCAGCATCAGTTTAGAGAATTTCCCTAAAGAACATTTAATAATGTCCTCCTCTTACAAAAGAAAAGTGAAAACCTTATTATCTTACTCTAACTATCAGACTGGCAGGGGATTTTATTTTAAAGTGAATTGGTCTAGGTAACTTTATGTTGGTTAGAATGATCTTCTTAGGTACTTCTAAATTCTAAATCTCTAAGAAAGAGAGGTTTATGGGTCCAGGAACAACTTTAGACTCCACATTTCTCTGACTGGACCTTACGGCTAATTAGACCAGTGAAAAAGAAGCCCCTAATTTATATGAAACAGTTTTAGGACTACTCAGGAGCAAGCTTGAAGTTCAAAGAAATAAATGCTGGGGATGGTAAGGAAAGGGGAAGAATATCAGAGTATGTCTGGAGCTTGCCAACTTTATAAAAAGTGAATAAATGCAGGTCCAAAACAGCCAAGAGGAGAACTTAAGAGTCCTTCTCCTGCTCTCCCTAAGTTTCCATTCTCTCACATATGGGACATTTTCCCTGCATCTTTTGTATTCCAAGAATATTTCCATCTTAACTCTATACACACTATGTTCCCAGTAAGCAATGCTCCCCTCATTTCACTTAGGTCTTTGATCAAATATTAGCTCCTCACCAAGGTCACCCCTGCTCAGTATCCCTCTTCCTACATCGCTGACTCAACAGACATGAGTTTGAGTAAGCTCCGGGAGTTGGTGATGGACAGGGAGGCCTGGCGTGCTGCAGCCCATGGGGTCACAAAGAGTCGGACACAACTGAGCGACTGAACTGAACTGAACTGAAGGCCACCCCTGCTCAGTATCCCCCTTCCTGAAATACACTTGATGGTTTGCCCTACATTGTCCTCAACAGTACTTAATATGACCTGATATTGTTCCACTTTTAAATCTATTTTGTCTTCCCAATTAATACAAAAGTAACTACCCACTCCAGTATTCTTGTCTGGAGAATTCCACAGACAGAGGCATCTGGTGGGCTACAGTCCATGGTGTCACAAAGAGTCGGACACGACTGAGGGACTGACACATATACAGACATCTTTATAGCAAAAACTTTGTAAACCTTCATCACAGTGTATCTGGAAAATACTGCCCAGAACAGAGCCTGGGGAATAAAAAGTGCTCAGAAACAACTTGAAAAGCTAGACATTCAATATAAATTCTGAAAATTGGAAAAGAGGCTAAAATTAGGAAATTCAGTATTTTAAGTGTGCCCATATGTAAACACTGAGTCTTTCAAAATATCTTTCAATGCCTGTTATTTTAGCATGTTTATTTTATTGAATTATGTAGGTGACAGAAAAACATGGAAATCAGCTCTGATAAACTATTCTACAACATTCACTCTGCTCTTTGTTGCATTCTGAAGACAGGATTGAAAAGAGTCTGGCATCATTGGTTCCACCTTCTCTAAGCAATTTTCGACATTAATACTCCAGCATATATGGTCAGCATATATGAATGATCATGTAACGGGAGTCATCAGTTAATTATCCTGAATCATCTCTATTAGTTTTTAACTTATAAAAGTTATTAGTTAATGGC